GGCAGGGGCTCAGGGATGCTCCCACACCAGGGCAGGGGCTCAGGGATGCTCCCACACCAGGGCAGGGGCTCAGAGATGCCTCCACACCAGGGCAGGGGGCTCAGAGATGCCTCCATACCAGGGCACGGGGCTCAGGGACGCTCTCACACCAGGGCACGAGGCTCAGGGACACCCCACACCACGGCACGGGGCTCAGGGATGCTTCCACACCAGGGCAGGGGCTCAAGGATGCTCCCACACCAGGGCAGGGGCTCAGGGACGCTCCCACATCACGGCAGGGGCTCAGGAACGCTCCCTCACCAGGGCAGGGGCTCAGGGATGCTCCCTCACCAGGGCAGGGGCTCAGAGACGCTCCCACACCAGGCCAGGGGCTCAGGGACGCTCCCACACCAGGCCAGGGGCTCAGAGATGCTCCCACACCAGGGCAGGGGCTCAGAGATGCCTCCACACCATGGTAGGGGCTCAGAGATGCTCCCACACCAGGGGAGGGGCTCAGGGATGCTCCTACACCAGGGCAGGGGGCTCAGAGATGCTCCCACACTGGGGCGGGGGGCTCAGGGATGCTCCCACACTGGGGCGGGGGGCTCAGGGATGCTCCCACACTGGGGCAGGGGGCTCAGGAATGCTCCCACACCAGGGCACAGGGCTCAGAGACACAGGGGCAGACACGAGCTCCGGACGGCTATCCCACAGTGATGACAAATCAGCCCCTCCACTGTCTGGGGCTCAGGGGTCCCTGGGTGGAGATGTTCCCCTTTGCCCACAGCAGGGAGCATCGGGTCTTCTGCCACGGGCGACCGCAGAGCCCTGATTCGGGGATTAAGTGGCTGGCACAGCCCCAGGTGTCAGGGCTGTGGTCTTCTCCAGACGCGCCCCTCACCCCACTCTGCGCTCCTCCCCTGCAAGGTAGCACGTCCCTGGAGGACATCTGGTCGACCCCTCTTGTACACACAGGCATTGAGGCTGGGCCCAGGGGCGTGTCCCGGGTGCTGAGCCAGGGAGACTCGAGGATGAGGAGCAGGACCAGGAGCTGGCACAGCCCCCGTGCCTCCCGAGGGGCCCGTGTGGGGGAAACGGCTGGCCACCAAGAAGCCCACTCACTTGAAGGCGTTGGGGTCTCCATGTATCTTGTAGCTGTCGGTGCTGATCTGAGAGATGACCCGGGTCACAGCGGTGAGGATGCCGATGTTGACCTGCCAGGGGAACGCCACAGGAGGCGGGTGAGGGGCTGGCTGCACCTGCAGAACCCATCCCACCTGGCCGCTGCCCTGCCCACAGCCGCCGACGCCGCCAAGGCTTCTGGGACAAACCCGACTCAGGGCCTTGACGTTTACCTACACGTACAACACGCAGCCACCACCTGTCTGTCCGTGTGTTGTGCTGTGGGGGCTTGTATGTTGCTGTGACGCTGGAATCTATACCCCCTGTATTTCAAATACCAGCAGGGTCACCTGTGGTGGATAGGTTTCAGTGGAGCTTCCAGACTAAGACAAACTAGGAAGAAAGGCCTGGTGATCTACTTACAAAAATCAGCCTGTGAAAACCCTATGGATCCCAACAGAACACTGTCTGATATAGTGCTGGAAAATGAGCTGCAGGTTGGAAGGCACCCAAAACACACAGTGGCTGCAACAGCGGACCTGAGCACCCCAACAATCATGAAGATGGTGCAGGACCGGGCAACTCAACAGCTAATGACACACGAGACTGTCCTCTGAGAGCACACACCTCTGCTGCTGAAAAAACACGAAGCGTAAGGCCTAGTCCTAGACAACTGTCAGAGGAAAGACCCCTCACCCTCGACAGCAAGGCAACAGGGAAGGGGTACAAACCTCACAGTTGACAGAAAACTCACTGTCATCGAGTCGATTCCGACTCTTAGCAACCCTGTAAGACAGAGTCGAACTGCCCCATAAGGTTTCCAAGGCTGTAAATCTTTACTGACGCAGACCGCCGCATCTTTCTCCCTGTGAAGCAGTTGGTGGGTTCGAACAGCTGACCTTTTGATTAGCAGGCAAGTGCTTAACCACTGAGCCACGAAGGCTCCTAGAGTCAAGAGACGTGGGTTCAAATCTCACCTCGGCGTTTGCTCACTCTATGTCCCTGGGGAACTTACCTCAGTCCTCTGAACCTCAGTTCTCCCATTTGACAAGGGGATAATAGCACCCATGGCGCACATCGATTGTGGAAGGGACTAGAAACCTATATATATCTGTAAAGCCCCTAGCCAGCACCTGGCTGTTACCCCGTACCCCTACAGACACCACGGCAGAAGAACCACAGCAGAGGGATGTCATCTTCTGGCCAACACGCCCTCCTTGCCAGGAACTTGCTAGAAGGCTCTCCATGGGGCCTATAGGGCTGGAGGGACATCAAGAAGGTCCCTGGCAGAGGCCCCAGCACAACCTGCCTGCACGTGGGCCGCTCTCCAGGGTCCTGATGAGGCTGCTTCACGTGGGTGACTTCCTCCTGCCACAGCGTCCACAGCTGGACTGCGCAGATGCTGCTGTGATGGGGCCTTCCCTCCCCGTGAGTAAGTCCCGAGGTCATTCACAGAGCTGGAACCACCTTGCTGCCCTGTTTCCTCATCTGTGAAACCAGGCTAATCACAGAGGACCCCAAGGTCAAGGGGAGAGGAGACAAGGTCACAGTGCAACCACGCTGCACGTCCGCACAGAGTGAACGTCCCATCACGCCCCTGACCCCCAGCCCTCCTGATGGACTCTGTGTCACAAATGAAGAGGCCGCACTCAACTGGACGGAGTCGGGGGAGGCCGCACTGCCCACGGACCAGTGTGTCTCTTAAACGCAGCTTCACTACACTCAAGTCAGGAGAGGCCAAATGGACCACAGTTCTGCAAAACAGTCACATCTCTTCAGCTTAGACAGTGACAAAAGTAAGAAACACCTGGTGTTGTCAGGTGCCATTACGTCCGTTCTGACTCACAGCACCCCACGTACAACAAAACAAAACACCGTCCAGTCCTGCGCCCCTCCTCACGATCGTGATGCTGGAGCCCACTGTTGCAGCCACTGTGCCAATCCATCTCCTTGAGGGTCTTCCTCTTTTTCGCTGACTCTCTACTTTACCAAGCATGATATCCTTCTCTAGGGACTGGTCCCTCCTGATAACATGTCCAAAGTATGTGAGACGAAGTCTCGCCATCCTCGCTTGCAAGGAGCATTCTGGCTGTACTTCTTCCAAGACAGATTTGTTTGTTCTTCTGAAAGTCCACAGTATATTCAATATTCTTCAACAACATCCTAATTCAAAGGCATCAATTCTTCTTTCGGTCTTCCTTATTTATTGTCCAGCTTTCATATGCTTATGAGGTGAGTGAAAACACCATGGCGTGGGTCAGGGGCACCGTCCTCAGAATGACATCTTTGCTTTTTAACACTTTAAAGAGATCTTCTGCAGCAGATTTGCCCAGTGCAGTATGTCATTTGATTTGTTGACTGCTGCTTCCATGGGTATTGATTATGGATCCAAGTAAAATGAAATCCTTGACAACTTCAATCTTTTTTAATCTGTTTATCGTGAAGTTGCTTATTGGTCCAGTTGTGAGGATTTTTGTTTTATGTTGAGGTGTAATGCATACTGAAGGCTGTGGTCTTTGATCTTCATCAGTAAGTGCTTCAAGTCCTCCTCACTTTCAGCAAGCAAGGTTGTGTCATCTGCATATCACAGATAGTTAATGAGTCTTCCTCCAATCCTGACGCCCTGTTCTTCCTCATATGGTCCAGCTTCTCAGATTATCTGCTCAGCATTCAGACTGAGTAGGTGTGGTGAAAGGATACAACCCTGATCACACCTTTCCTGACTGTAAACCACACAGCATCCCCCAGGAACACTGGTGTGTAGTTACTGCTCCACTAAAGAGGAGATTCACGATTAAAGTTTCAATTCCACCGCTACTTTAGAAACGCGTATCCCGGATGCCTCACACAGGTGAAAGCTGAGGCCTTGTTTATAACAACGAAGGCTTGGCATCAACCTGACCATCCTTTGCTGGGGTGAGCGCCCCGTGGCCGCGCCGCAGCCCGAGAATGCTGGCGGAGGGACAGCACAGAGCGGGTACGAGTGGGTACCTGTATCTAGTTTATCTGCATCACACCGCTAGGACACACGAGTCACAGGCTGGGACGGGTCAGTTCTGCCCTTCACCCCGACTTCAGAGGGTGTAAGTCAGGAGAGAGAAGAACAAGGAACACAGTCGTGCTTAAAAACGCGACCGTCCTCATCTCCATGATCCGTCACTGCTTTGACTTTGAGGCACTGTCCCAAATGGCCGTGCACTGAAACAGTGACCATGTCTGATTTGGAGACCTTTCCACTTTCTGTCCATCGAGGTGGCTTGTCCGACTGAGAGCCGGAGGGGCACCAAGCTCCCTGTGAAGCATCATCAGGGATTCTTTAGCAATGTGATGGCAGACGGCCCCGGCTCAGAGCTGCTTGTTCATCCAGATGACAGCCCTGAGCACAGGCCTGCCCGCCCCGGGCCCTGCTGGGTCGAGACTTCCATCAGCTGAGCCGGCGGGTGACCCGCCCTGGGCCCTGCTGGGACGAGACTTCCATCAGCTGAGCCGGCAGGTGACCCGCCCTGGGCCCTGCTGGGACGAGACTTCCATCAGCTGAGCCGGCGGGTGACCCACCCTGGGCCTGCTCGACCCCTGCTGGTGCCACAGCCTGCCACACTCAGCTGAACCCCCGAGCCGAGGACGCTGTTCCAGGTTGGGGTTCAGACCCAGGGGGTGGCTGAGCCTCTAGGTCGGCAGCTGTGACAGGTGGGAACTGACCTGTCGTATGAAGCTCCTCCCAGCATTGTGTCCACCTGCAGCCGTGCACCTCCCCCAGCCCAGACCACCCAGCAATGGCCATGCTGTCAGCAGCTTTTATAGCTTCAGTTGAAGGCAGAAATCAACATGTAAAACCACCTAGGAAGGGCCTAAATGGTTCTTTAATCATTCTTGGCTGTAATCTCTATGGAAACAGATTGCCAGGCCTTTCTTCTGTGGCACCGCTGGGAGGGTTTGAACCACACACCTTTAAGTTAGCAGCCGAATGCAAACCATTTGCGCAACCCAGGGACCTAATCTTCAGGAAACTGTCACCCTGAAGTGGACAAGCTGGTAAGAGTGTGAGGCTCTGTCACCTGGAACCAGAGTGACTCCAGCCAGTGTGTTTCCCTTGAGGCCCTCACTGGTATTCCCCACTGAGGCCTCAGGGCTCCAGGGCTCTTTGAGGAGAGAAGAAAGCCAGGGCTGAGGATGGCAAAGAAGACCTGGCCGGGCCCCCACAGCCCC